CCTGTCTTCCACCATCCCCCTGAGTCCACTTAAGCTCACACCAACTGCTTCAGTGACTCCATCTAGCCACCTCATCCTCTGCCATCCCCTTCTTCTTTTGCTATCTATTGTTCCCAGCATTAGGCTCTTCTCCAGTGAGTCCTTCCTTTTCATTAGGTGGCCAAAGTATTTGAGTTTCATCTTCAGGATCTGGCCTTCTAAAGAGCAGTCAGGGTTGATCTCCTCTAGGACTGACCAGCTGGATAACCTTGCGGTCCAAGGGACTCGCAGGAGACTCCTCTAGCACCACAGTTCAAAGGCCTCAATCCTTCGGTGCTCAGCCTTCCTTATGATCCAGCTTTCACAGCCACACATTGCAACTGGGAAAACCATAGCCTTGAGCATACGCACTTTTGTCGGCAGGGTGATGTCTCTGCTTTTTAGTATGCTGTCTAGATTTGCCATAGCTTTCCTCCCCAGGAGCAAGCGTCTTTTAATTTCTTGGCTGCAGACACTGTCTGTGGTGATCTTGGAGCCCAGGAAAATAAAATCTGTCACTACCTCCATTTCTTCCCCATCTATTTGCCAGGAAGTGAGAGGATCGGATGCCATGATATTAGTTTTCTTAATGTTGAGTTTCAAGCCAACTTTTGCATGCTCCTCCTTCACTCGCATCAAGAGGCTCTTTAGTTCCTCTTTACTTGCTGCCATTAGAGTGATATCATTTGCATATCTGAGGTTGTTCATAATTCTCCCAGCAATCTTAATTCCAACTGGTGATTCATCCAGCCCGCCTTTCTCATGATGTGCTCTGCATATAAGTTAAATAGGCAGGGTGACAGTATACAGCCTTGCTGAACTCCTTTCTCAATTTTGAACCAATCAGTGGTTCCGTGTCCACTTCTCCCTGTTGCTTCTTGACCTGCATATAGGTTTCTCAAGAGACAAATAAGATGGTCTGGTACTCCCATCTCTTGAAGAACTTGCCAGAATTTGTTGTGATCCACACAATCAAAGGCTTTAGCATAGTCAATGAAGCAGAAGTAGATGTTTTTCTGGAACTCCCTAGCTTTCTTCATGATCCAGTGTGTGTTGGAAATTTGATCTCTAGGTCCTCTCCCTCTTCAGAATCCTGCCTGTACTTCTGGTAGTTCTCAGTCCACATACTGCTGGAGCCTAGCTTGTAGGATTTTGAGCATAATTTTGCTAGCATGTGAAATGAGTGCAATGGTGCGGTAGTTTGAACATTCTTTGGCATTGCCCTTCTTTGGGATTGGAATGTAAACTGACCTTTTCCAATCCTGTGGCCACTGTTGAGTTTTCCAAATTTGCTGGCATATTGAGTGTAGTACTTTTACTGCATCGTCTTTTAGGATTTTGAATAGCTCAGCTGGAAGACTGTCACCTCCACTAGATTTGTTGTTGCTCAGACTTCCTAAGGCCCATTTGACTTCACATTCCAGGATGTCTGGCTCCAGGTCAGTGACCACCCCATCATGGTTATCAGGGACGTTAAGCTCTTTCTGGTATAGTTCTTCCATGTAATCTTGCCACCTCTTCTTAATCTCTTCTGCCTTGGTTAGGTCCCTGCCATTTTGGTCCTTTATCATGCCCATCTTTGCATGAAATGTTCCCTTCATATCTCCAATTTTCTTGAAGAGATCTCTGGTCCTCCCTATTCTATTGTTTTCTTCTATGTCTTTGCACTGTTCATTTAAGAAGGCATTCTTATCTCTTCTAGCTGTTCTCTGGAATTCTGCATTCAATTGTTTGTATCTTTCTCTTTCTCCCATGCCTTTTGCTTCCCTTCTTTCCTCAGCTATTTATAAAGCTTCCTTAGACAGCCATTTTGCTTCCTTGCATTTCTTTTTCTTTGGGATGGTTTTAGTTGCTGCCTCTTGTACAATGTTGCGAATTTCCGTCCATAGTTCTTCAGGCACTCTGTCCATCAGATCGAATTCCTTAAATCTATTTCTCACCTCTACTGTATATTTATCAGGGATATGATTTAGGTCATACCTGAGAGGCCTAGTGCTTTTCCCTACTTTCTTCAATTTAAGCCTACATTTTGCAACAAGAAGCTCATGATCTGAGCCACAGTCAGCTCCTGGTCTAGTTTTTACTGATTGTATAGAGTTTCTCCATCTTTGGCTGTAGAGCACATAGTCAATCTGATTTCTGTGTTGACCGTCTGGTGATGTCCATGTGTACAGTCGTCTCTTGGGTTGTTGGAAAAGAATGTTTGCTATGACCATCGTATTCTCTTGACAAAATTCTACCAGCCTGTGCCCTGCTTCATTTTGTACTCCAAGGCCAAACTTGCCTGTTATTCCGGTTATCTTTTGGCTTCCTACTTTAGCATTCCAATACCCCATGATGATAAGGATATCATTTTTTGGAGTTAATTCTAGTTGTATGCATTCAGAGAATCGGTCAACTTCAGCCTCTTCAGCACCAGTGGCTGGGGCATAGACTTGGACTATTGTGTTGTTGAATGGTTTGCCTTGGATTCGAACTGAGATCATTCTGTCATTTTGGAGATTGTATCCCAGTACTGCTTTTCCTACTCTTCTATTGACTATGAAGGCTACTCCATTTCTTCTGAGGGATTCTTGCCTGCAGTAGTATACCTGATGGTCATCTGAATTAAATCCCCCCATTCCTGTCCATTTTAGTTCACTGATTCCTAAGATGTTGATGTTCAGTCTTGTCATCTCTTGTTTGACCACATCCAGCTTGCCTTGATTCATGGATCTTACATTCCAGGTTCCTATGGAGTACAGATCTTTGCAGCATTGGACTCTCCTTTCACCACCAGATACAAGATGTAACTTAGTGTCCTTCAGTACCAGGGATTTGGACCTGATGGCCTTTTGGCTCCTTCCAATGCTACTGTTCTATGATTCTAAGTGATTATAAATTCAGACCTGAAGAAAGAATGAAATATTCCAAAGCTGCAAGGATGTTCTGACTGAAACAACTGCTGAATTTTCAATTTCAGACCAAAATCCTTAATCAGTAAAACTAGAATTAATCTGCACAATTTAACAATTCTGTAAAAAGCAAAGATAGCTATGTTGACTATAACATCCTTTACAAAATCCATATTAGGATAATGACTTAGTTCAGTCATGTGGCAGAACAACTACAAATTTTCCAACTCCTGCCACCATATGTGGCAAAACTGTGATCCATCAAACACAGAAAAACCCATGTAGATTTCTTGAAGCTTTGAGACTTGGGTCTATGGAACTTCATGTCTCAAGGCTGCCTCAACTAAAAAATATTTGACTGTCATTACAAAACAACCTAAATTATTCACCTCTCCCCACTTTGCTGTTTTGCTAGATAACCATTTTAATGGGTGGGAGAGATACTGGAGCCATCTGATATCCTGCTGCTTCAGTCTACTCTCCTGCCTGTACCCTTTTGCCTTCTTTGTGGTTCTCTGTGCTGGGTGCAAGGGGCTGGGGATGGGGTGAGAATTCCAGTTCTGAACTTTGGGTTTTCCACCCTCAGAGTTGGAAACCCAAACTATTCTATGGCCTCCTCAGATGATGGAAGGATCATTCCCTAATTGTTTCACATGTTGCCAGGATGTTTGTGTTAGCAGTAGCCAACAGGCTATTGTCAACTTAATTGAAGCATAAAATACCTAATGTATTTGAAATATATCCAAGTGGTTTACAAAATACATTATGATAAACAGTAAAATACAACTGAATTACAGAAAATGCTGAAATATTTGTATAAAGTATGAATAAAATCAGCTAGAACTGATACAACACCATAATTACAACAAACAGAATAGATAAAAGAATTTATAGTAGATTTATAGTTGGTCCTTTCCAAATACTGAGGGAGAAAGCATTCCATATAGAGGGTGCCAGCATGGAAAGGCCCTCTTTCTGCAATCTGCAGGCCATGGGCCTCCTTTGACTGTCTTAATAATCACACAGGTCCATACTGGGAAAAACTATTTGCATTGTAACCTGGTACCAAGCTGTTCAGGGCTTTATATGCCAACAGCAAGACATTGCACTTAACTGAGTAGTTAACAGGTAGCCAATGTGTCTCATCACTGGTGCAATATGTGCACAGCCAAGCACTCAGCATTTGGCTGTTGCATTTTGCTTCAAGTAGCTTCTGAACAACCCACAAGGATGGCCTTACATTAAGAAAAATAATGCAGTAATTCAAACAGGTTACCAATGCATGGACTTTAGTGGCCAAGTTATCCCTGACAAGGAACGGCTGTAGTTCACATACCCACCTGAGTTAGCAATATGCACTTCTCACCACAGAATCCCCTGGGCCTCTAATGATATGAATCCAGGAGCACCCCCAAGCTAGAACAGGTAAACTCTAACAACCAACCAGAGAGTCTTCATCTTCTTAAGACTGATAGTTTATGGGCCCTCATCTAACTCATCACTGCATCCAGGGAGTGATGGGTTCAAAACATGCATAGTGTCTTCTCATTCAGTATTACAAAGAAAAAGTTTTGTCCTTGTCCCAAAATTCTAATGATCATATAGGTGTTAGATAATCATAGGGGACAACATTGTACCCTGTGGCATGCCACATCAGAATTACCAGGAAGCTAAGTCATGGTCCCCCAAATTCTACTTTCTGGAACTGTCCCTGAAAGTAGGAACAGAACCATTGTAGCACAATGCTTTCAATTCTCAATACATGGAAACAATCCAAAAACTGTTGAGAGATCAACAGACGATAACAAAATCTTTAACTGTGTGGATCCTGATTCTCCAGCACCAGGTTCATCTCCATCATTATCAGTTAATGTTAGGTTTAATGTTACCCCAAAAATGTTCCAAATGGTTTCAAGAACTTCTACCCACATACAGTTTTTCTCTCTTCAGCACCTGTAGTTACTTCATCATTATAATTATTATCATTATTACAATGCTGTACTGTATTTAAGATGTTTTAGTGAATATGGAAGTGTTTCTCAAGTATTCTATATGCATAGAAAGGTAAAATATATACAAGCATTTGGCTTATTCATGTGATCTATCGTACATACAAATTCAACCTAAGGATGTTATCAGGAATGGAATTCATCTGTAACTCAGAAACTACCTGTAGTTTGGCAGGATTTGTTCTTGAGAAATTCCTGTTGGCTTGTACTAATCAATGCACTGCTTTTGAAGTGTTTTACCTGGAGACAACCTATACCCATTTCAGTTTTGAAAATTCTGGTTTTAGGGCTCTGAATTACATGGAGTTATTTTTTCCATGTAAGAAGTAGTCCACAACCTGCTCCTACACCAGTTCATTTGGAAATGTCCCAGTGCCTCATCCAAGTAAATACGACAACAAGCCACAAAGTTTATTTGGTGGAGATCAAACTGACCTCTTAACGCTGAGATACAACTACTTTCCAACGCACAACCGTTTGTAGACTAGTACTAGATTCATACCTGCCTTTCATGGGTTCAAAATGAGAGCCCAGGACCATGAAATCCTCCGCAGATTAGAGGCACGATACGATTAAGGTCTGAGCAGTGGCTGAAAAGTGTCTGCTTCTTCTCTAGTCGCAGAACGATCACGGCCCTACGGATGTACTGTAGGATGGACTGAATCATAGTTCTGATTAAGTTTCCAACCAAAGCGCCACTTCGAGGGGCGCTCGCTTCCTCCGTCGCTAACAGGTGGAAGGCCAGCTTCGAAGGACACACATGCTTGTGATCCCAACGAAGGGTCAAGGTCCCGCCGCTTCCCCACTTCCCCGGTATGTTAACCCTTGTGTTACCAATTGCAGCAACCCAAAACACCCCAAAAGTAATTGGCCAGAGAAAGGCCCCAAAAGTAGTTGCCCAGAGGAAGGCCACATAGTAAAAACACCACGGTTATACTGTCCCAGAAGGGAGGGGGGATAAGAACAAAATGAACTTTGTGTAACCCACAGCTAACACGCTGGC